CGAGCAGATCAGTTCTAAAGGATGCGAAGGACGGTGCACTTCCAGGCCGATTTAGTTTCCGGGTCCTTCATGAGAACCATAGCCATTTGAGTCTTCTTTCCAGAACGTCCAAGAGCATTCAATTCGGATCTATGAGCAGAAAGATACAGTCTCCGGAATGGACACATGTCTAGACGCCTCTCTCTGGTCGTGTACATGCACTGCAAAGATGTGCCCTCCAGGAAGCCTTACACTTCCCAAGCACCGAAGCTTTCTTCACCAAAGTTGGAGATAAATGAGTCCTCTGTCTTCTGCAACCGAAATCATTCAATTCGGACAAGTCTCATAGGAGTTACACTCTCCGGAATGCGAAGTGGTCTAAGCTGCTCTGGATGCTGCGAGATGGTCTTGCGACTTGGTTAACCCGCACGATCACTCGCAAATCACTCCGACTTGAGCCTGCGACCTAGGTGCAATAGAGACCAACCCGCACAGTTTGTACATTCCCCAGAAACCGCCTTAGCCCTGCGAGTTGGAGAGGAAGGAGACCAAGCCGCAGCAACACTCGCAAAACACTCCTACTTAGGCGTGCGGCTTCACAAGACAAGTCTTCATCTACTGCGACTTAGGTGTGCGACCTGGGACATACTGGACTGACCCGCAGGATTTCCACTTGACCCAACTGAGCCGGGTCAGTACCCAGTTTGTCCTGGGCTGACCCGGTCCATTAGCACTTAGTATATATAGTTTTTTGGGAGAAAAACCCTAAGATCATCTTCTCTCTTAGTTTCTCTCTAGTTTTCTTTCCTTTGAGTGTAAAAACGTTTTGGATTAAGAGAGATCTCAAGGATTTAATCAATCTAAGTCTGTTTGTCATCATCTCATCATTTCATTTCTGCTTCTAATCATGATTAACATCATCTCTTGCAAAAGATTAGATGTGTTCTTCATGATTAGTGAGTAGTCATCTTTTAAACTTCTAGGTGTGTAGATTAGGGTGCTTAGATGTTTGATTGGTGATGTTTAGGGTTTAGATTCTCATTCCATTTCCTTAGTTAGTTGCTCCTAATGCCAGATTTCCTTGGGAAAGTGAAATCTGGGTTCATAGGCATTTCATGCACCAAAAGTGTTTGATGAAATGCCTGAATGAGCTAACTTAAGGGTTTATGCCTTTTTCATCATGGGAATGATTTGTTAAATGCATGAATGACATATTAGAACTGTTTCTTAATGCTCATTGATTCATATTTCACAAATGATGATTTGGTTTGAAAGTGGATTAGTGTAGAGATTAATGCCTTCATGAGAGGATTAGTCTAGATTAGAGTTCTAAGTTGAAATGTTTGAGATCATGTGATTGCTTGTTATGTCTTTCTGTATAAGATTCAGTCTTCTTGGTTGAGAGATTGTTTGGTCACTTATTAGGCTTGATGCATTATGCTTGCTGATTGCTTGATTATATCTAATGGTTGTTAGACTTGATTAAGTGATTTGCAAAGGGATTATTGTCATGGGAATGAATTAATCTGATTAAGAAGCCTAGACTAAAGAGTAGCAAGTGTTGCATTATGTTCTTAGCATCATGATTCAATATCTAAAGCACCCTAATCAATGATCACATCTAGAGGTTTAGCTTTTATCATTTGCTTAATCACCATCATCTTGTTTTGTTTGCTTGCTTAGTTCATTAATCATAGCTTGTTTGTTTCTTGTTTTATGCTTTCTTGTTGCTGGTTTCACAAAACTCATCTTTGATTACTTGACTTAAGAACCTATCACATAAACTAGTGCCTAACTACCACACATATGGATTGACACCCCTTATACTACTTTGACAAGGGGATTGATAACCCATCTAAGGCTTTAAAAACTTTAGTTATCAATGGTACTCATTCTCTGCCACCACCCGTTCTGGGCTTGGCAAGTTATCGGTGCCACCACCCTCAACGGGGCTTGACTATGGCTCGTCAGCCCTTTCTCGATCACTACAACTTCACAATCTCAGTTCTTCATTGTAGGCCGTCAAACAATTTTGTAATCAAATAAATTTTATTGTTAACATATTGTTGTACTTCTCATTATTAATTATCAACAATAACAAAATCAATAACACATATCAAACACCATTATCAAATACCAATCATCAATCATGTTTAATATCTACACTAAGCATACACACATTACTAAATCAACTAATATATCTTAGAAATCCACAAACTTGTCTTCACTTTAATTTGAAAGAACCTGGAATAGCATTTGGAGAATATGGTGGTCAAAAATGGTTGCAGCTAGAAAACACTCATTTTAAAAACACTTCAAAGCTGCCTCAGAAACACGCTGATAACTCGACAACCAACCGTTGAAATCGCAAATTCACCGTTGAAACAGGAGACTGATGTACCGTGAAGCCCTCCACAAAATTTCAGCTTGATCGGACTTCAGACGAATCGTCTACGGTCCTTTGAAGTTGCTGCATCGAAGCAGAATTCTGGGTTGCAAGGTGACGCAGATGATTCTTGCGCAGGAAGAAAGCTTCGTTGTGGGCTGACCGTAACTCCGATGACGATGCCGTTTGCTCCTAAGGCTTTGTTGCAACGAGATCTTTCCAGAGGCACCTAGATCACGGTTTAGTTCTTCCTGGAACAACAGGAATCTTCCTCACAAAACCCCACCTCGGAATTGTGTATTCTCTCTCAACTCTCATCTTCTCCAGCCTCTCGGTGCAAGCAGCAACTGCGACGGTTGTAGATCAGAAACTCCGGTGACCATGGGTCCTCTTATGGAGACGTGCAACTCATTGTGGTAATGGATCCTCATGGTGGCAACGGTGGTGGACGGTGTGCTCTCTCTTCCTTTCTCTCTTCTCTTCTTCTTCTCTTCTCCTCTCTCTCTCTCTCTCTCTCTCTTCTTCTCTTTTCTTTTCTTCTCTTACGGCTCAGCTGTTTTTCTTTTTCGTTTTTGTTTCGTTAGGTTTTGGTTTTAAAAGAAACTAATCAATTGGACAAAAATATAAATTTGGGCTTAATGAAAACACAAAAATAATTGGATTTAGGTTTTAAAAACAAATTAGGTCCAAAGACAAAATTTGGGATGTCACAAACTCCCCCACTTGAAATGAATTCGTCATGGAATTCGCGGATCCCTTCTCCCCCACTTGATTATCGACTTTACCTTGGAGTGACGTTCTGATTATTTTTATAGAGACATCCAAACGCTTCCGCTGCGCGACTCTGATAAATCAACTTTTCTTGGTTTCATTTCCTGTTGCACTGACTAAGGTATTTTTGTCTTGGAGGAACACTTGAATCTGACATTCAACCTAGAAAATCAAAGAAGACTGATTCAGTCAAGATCGTTGTTTTCCTACTCTCTAACCCCTATAAGAATTTTTTTTATTTTTTTCTTCAATGAAATACGAAATATGAAATTAAAATTTTTTTTTTTATTTGAAATCCAAAATTTTAATCTTTTTTTTAAATAAAAAATTTTGATTTCAGAAAAGAAATTTTTTTTTTATTAAAAACCGATTAAACATTCTAACAAGTCCCAAGACGCCTCCCGGGTCAGAACTAGTTTGGCTAATTTTACGCTCTGATACCAAATGTGAAACACCATAATATTGCAAATATAATCTAACTTGAATTACACTCATTTAACAGCTTTTAAATTCGAATAACGAACCTATTAAATATTTATTTATTATCAAAAAACTTTTATTAAAAATACATAAATCGAGAATTCGAAAAGTCTTAATCATTTGATAAAAAAACTAAAACAAATATAATTAAAATTCTCATTAAAATAATTACAGAAATGCGTCCATGACTCCGGGACATAACACCACAACGACCGCCACAAATACTATTATTTGGTCTCACCTGAAAAAGAAGAGAGGGGTGAGTATTCGGAGAAAAATACTCAGTGAAGATGTGTTCTTGGAACACACAAGATTCTTTGACATCTTTTTTAAAATAGCAATAATATATATACATAATATAGACATCAAACTCAAGAAACAATCAACCTAGAATAACTAATATTATTATATAATATATATGTTATTAAATAATATATATTATTTTAATATTTCTAAATAAATAGAATCATTCAATCATTCAAACCAATCAACCTAAATAGTCTACTTCACATTCCCAAAGAACTTCCGTCAATGGTACACATTCTCTGCCACCACCCGTTCTGGGCTTGGCAAGTTATCGGTGCCACCACCCTCAACAGGGCTTGACTATGGCTCGTTAGCCTTTTCTCGATCACTACAACTTCACAATCTCAGTTCTTCGTTATAGGCTTTCAAACAATATTGTAACCAAATAAATTTTATTGTTAACATATTCTTGTACTTCTCATTATTAATTATTAACAATAACAAATCAATAATACATATCAAACACCATTATCAAATACCAATCATCAATCATGTTTAATATCTACACTAAGCATACACACATTACTAAATCAACCAATATATCTAAGAAATCCACAAACTTGTCCTCACTTTAATTTGAAAGAACCTGGAATAGCATTTGGAGAATATGGTGGTCAAAAATGGTTGCAGCTGAAAGACACTCATTTTAAAAACACTTCAAAGCTGCCTCAGGAACACGCTGATAGCTCGACAACCAACCGTTGAAATCTCAATCCCACCGTTGAAACTGGAGACCGATGTACCATGAAGCCCTCCACAAATTTCAGCTGGATCGGACAGCAGACAAATCATCTACGGTCCTTTGAAGTTGCTGCATCGAAGTTGCAAGGTGACGCAGATGATTCTTGCGCAGGAAGAAATCTTTGTTGTGGGCTGACCGTAACTCCAATGACGATGCCGTTTGCTCCCACGGCTTTGTTGCAACGAGATCATTCCAGAGGCACCTAGATCACGGTTTAATTCTTCCTGAAGAAATGGGAATCTTCCTCACAAAACCCCACCTCGGAATTGTGTATTCTCTCTCAACTCTCATCTTCTCCATCCTCGCGGTGCAAGCAGCAACTGCGACGATGGTAGATCAGAAACTCCGGTGACCATGGGTCCGCTTCTGGAGACGTGCAACTAATTGTGGCAATCGATCCTCATGGTGGCAACGGTGGTGGACGGTGTGCGAATCATCAAAATCAATTTTTGAGAAGATAGATGCTGTACCAGTTTGATCTAGGAGATCATCTAGGCGCGGAATAGGAAAACGATATCGCACTGTTATTTTGTTGATAGCGCGACTATCAACACACATACGCCAAGATCCATCTTTCTTAGGGATCAATAATGCAGGTACTGCGCAAGGACTTAAACTCTCACGGATATGTCCTTTGGCTAATAAACTTTCAACTTGGCGTCGCAATTCTTCATGTTCCTGCGGATTCATCCTGTAATGCGGCCGATTAGGAAGTACAGTCCCTGGGACTAAGTCAATATGGTGCTGTATTTCTCTTAATGGTGGAAGCTCATTCGGAAGATCGGCCGGAAAAACGTCCTGAAAATCACCCAAAAGCTGGTCTAAAACTGGATTTGGACAATGGTTAACCAAAGCCATGTTTGCGACCGAAAGTAACAAAAAAGCAAAACCGGTGTCCCGAAGTTCTTCCTCAAAAGTACCACGAGAACAAATCAATGTAGCTTTAGGCAAAGAATCAGTGACTGGAGTAGGAATATGAGGATTGGCTTGATGGGGCAAAGGCGTAGACGTTGAAGGGTCTTTGGGTAAGAATGTAATTGTACGATTATCAAACACAAAACGGTAACAATTTCTCTTCCCGTCATGAAGTGTTGCTCTAGCATATTGCCATGGACGCCCAAAAATCAAGTGACCCACGTCCATAGGAACAATATCACAATACAGCTTATCCTTATAAACTGCTCCAATGGAGAATGACACCAGTGTTCGATGTGTAACTCTAACCTCTGTCCCTTCTTTTAACCACGTAAGCTTATATGCGCAGGGATGCGCTTCTTTTTGAAGTCCCAATTTGCGAACGGCATAGTCAGAAACGATATTGTGGCAACTACCAGAATCAATAATGAATTTGCACACCTTGCCTTTAACCGTACATGTAGATTGGAAGATGTTAGTGCGAAGCCATGGTTCCTCCAATACTTGTGGTGCTAAACAGATATGCCGTGCCACTAAGAGAGGACCAGAATCGCCTTCCAACTCTGTATTATCTAACAACTCATCTTCCACAATATCATCATGATATGAATCATAAGAATGTTCAATCTCTTCAATTAAAAGACCACGCTTTGATTGTTTTGGACATGCAGTTTGCATGTGGCCTGTTTCTCCACAAGAAAAACAACGTAGTGCATTAGGACGTGAAGAACGACGAAGTGTGTTATCATTCGGTGCCAAGGGAGCTCGAGTTGAATTTGTGATCCGGGGAGCGTTCGTTGTGGAATCCATCAACGCTGGTGCGGAACCTTGACCCGTATTTAAATCTTGTTGCACAGAATTACGAATCCTTGCAGAAGAATTCCAGCTGTTAGATGAAGATCGGAATTGTTGTTCAAATGCAGAGGCACGTCGATGAGCTTTAGCGACATTGTTAGGATCAAACTGGGCCAACGTGTTCAGGAGTTGTGGTCGTAATCCGCCTATAAAACGAGACACCGTTTGAATTTCACTATCATGAATCTCATTACGAGTCATCAAGATGTAAAATTTCTCGGAATATTCATCAACGGTTCGAGACCCTTGTCGCAGATTCTGTAATCTGGTATACATAGTGTGATCAAAGTTATAAGGGAGAAAGGTCTTTCGTAGTTGTTTTTTTAACTTGTCCCATGATGCTATTTTAGATTTTCTTTCACGAGAACGTGTTGATTTTAGTTGTAACCACCACGATGCTGCTTGTCCTCGTAATTTTGTTGCAACCAAAGCAACTTGGCGATTAGCAGGAACCTGTTTAAAGTCCAATACTTCTTCCACCGTGACGATCCAGTCAAGCAAATCTTCACCGCGGATGCTACCATGAAATTCTGGAATATCAACCTTGAAACCCATCTCCCATCGACAATCAGCATCGTGAATAGGTTGTGCTTGATTTTTTTGAAGTTGTCGTTGATTGCGTTCATGAGCGAAAGGGTTTTCGCGGTCATCGTCTTCGTCAATACGATGAGGCTGGTTATTGAGGATCGTCTCCACGACGTCTCTCATGGATTGATGCAACGAATCTGATGAACGTTGGATAGCTGTGTGTAAATTCAACTGCATCTCGTGTAGGGTTCGTCGCAGCTCAACCCAATCATCAGACCGTACCTCATCATCTCGTACTTCTCTGTTATTGGTTTTCGGTGGCATGACTGATTTCCGGAACGGCGAGTCTCTGATACCAAAAGTGATGGAGCAGAAGAACAAAGAAAGGGGTCTTGTTCCTCACGTTTCCCAGGAAGCGAGAAGAAACAAGAAGAAGCTCTGTTTTCTATGCGAAGAACAGAGTGTCGAGGTTTTGTAAAGAAACTCTTCTTTGCAAAAGCTCAATAAAGCAACTTCTTAATAATTCAATTCAAAGATGAGATCTTCGTACAAACTAGATCCTATTTATATTAAAAGAGCAAGACCTAATTCTAATGGAAATAGGAAACTTAATGATTTAATGAAAAGGTAAGACAAATTAAAAAGGAAAAACTGAAAAGAAAAGAAAGCCAAATCCTTGCCAAACGTAAAAGCTTTTGACAAGGTGAGAATATGCTGCATCAGATACGAAATGTGAGACACCATAATATCGCAAATATAACCTAACTTGAATTACACTCATTTAACAGCTTTTAAATTCGAATAACAAACTTATTAACTATTTATTTAATATCAAAAAAATATTTTATTAAAAATACATAAATCAAGAATTCGAAAAGTCTTAAGCATTTGATAAGAAAAACTAAAAAAATATAATTAAAATTCTTATTGAAATAGTTAAAATCCTCTTCTGGAGACGTGCAACTCATTGTGGCAATGGATCCTCATGGTGGCAACGGTGGTGGACGGTGTGCTCTCTCTTCCTTTCTCTCTTCTTTTCTTCTCTTCTCTTCTCTCTCTCTCTCTCTTCTTCTCTTTTCTTCTCTTCTCTTACGGTGCAGCTGTTTTTCTTTTTCGTTTTTGTTTCATTAGGTTTTGGTTTTAAAAGAAACTAATTAATTGGATAAAACTATAAATTTGGGCTTAATGAAAACACAAAAATAATTGGATTTAGGTTTTAAAAACAAATTGGGTCTAAAGACAAAATTTGGGATGTCACAAACTCCCCATCTTGAAATGAATTCGTCCTCGAATTCGCAGATCCCTTCTCTCCCACTTGATTATCGACTATACCTTGAAGTGACGTTATGATTATTTTTATAGTGACATCCCAACGCTTCCGCTGTGCGACTCTGATAAATCGACTTTTCTTGGTTTCATTTCCTGTTGCACTGACTAAGGTATTGATGTCTTGGAGGAAAAGTCGAATCTGACATTCAACCTAGAGAATCAAAGAAGACTGATTCGGTCAAGATCTGAAAAAAAAAAAGAGAGCGGTGAGTATTCGGGGAAAAATACTCAGTGAAGGTGAGCTCTTGGAACACACAAGATTCTTTGACATAGTATTTGAAATCAGAAAAGAATTTTTTTTTTATTGAAAACCGATTAAAAATTCTAACAAGTCTCAAGACGTCTCCCGGGTCAGAACTGGTTCTGCTAACCTTACGCTCTGATACCAAATGTGAGACAACATAATCTCGCAAATATAACATAACTTGAATTACACTCATTTAATAGCTTTTAAAGTCGAATAACGAACCTATTAAATATTTATTTATTATCAAAAAAAACTTTTATTAAAAATACATAAATCGAGAATTCGAAAAGTCTTAAGCATTTGATAAAAAAAACTAAAAAAAATATAATTAAAATTCTTATTAAAATAATTAGAGAAATGCTCCCATGACTCTGGGACATAACACCACAACGACCGCCACAAATACTATTCTTTGGTCGCACCTGAAAAAGAAGAGAGCGGTGAGTATTCGGGGAAAAATACTCAGTGAAAGTGTGCTCTTGGAACACACAAGATTCTTTGACATAGTATTTGAAATAGCAATAATGTATATACATAATATAGACATCAAACTCAAGTAACAATCAACCTAGAATAACTAATATTATTACATAATATATATGTTATTAAATAATATATATAATTTTAATATTTCTAAATAAATAGAATCATTCAATCATTCAAACCAATCAACCTAAATAGTCTACTTCACATTTCTAAAGAACTTCCGTCAATGGTACTCATTCTCTGCCACCACCCGTTCTGGGCTTGGCAAGTTCTCGGTGCCACCACTCTCAACAGGGCTTGACTATGGCTTGTTAGCCCTTTCTCGATCACTACAACTTCACAATCCCAGTTCTTCGTTGTAGGCCGTCAAACAATATTGTAACCAAAAAAAATTTATTGTTAACATATTCTTGTACTTCTCATTATTAATTATCAACAATAACAAATCAATAACACATGCTAAAAAAAAAAAAACAAATCAATAACACATATCAAACACCATTAACAAATACCAATCATCAATCATGTTTAATATCTACACTAAGCATACACACGTTACTAAATCAACTAATATATTTTAGAAATCCACATACTTGTCCTCACTTTAATTTGAAAGAATCTGGAATAGCATTTGAAGAATATGGTGGTCAAAAATGGTTGCAGCTGGAAAACACTCATTTTAAAAACACTTCAAAGCTGCCTCAGGAACACGCTGATAACTTGACAACCAACCGTTGAAATCTCAATCCCACAGTTGAAACTGGAGACCGATCTACCGTAAAGCCCTCCACAAAATTTCAGCTCGATCGGACTTCAGACAAATCGTCTACGGTCCTTTGAAGTTGCTGCATCGAAGCAGATTTCTGGGTTGCAAGGTGACGCAGATGATTCTTGCCCAGAAAGAAAGCTTCGTTGTAGGCTGACCGTAATTCCGATGACGATGCCGTTTGCTCGAACGGCTTTGTTGCACCGAGATCTTCCCAAAGGAATCTAGATCACGGTTTAATTTTTCCTGAAGCAACGAGAATCTTCCTCACAAAACCCCACCTCAGAATTGTGTATTCTCTCTCAACTCTCATCTTCTCCAGCCTCTCGGTGCAAGCAGCAACTGCAACGGTGGTAGATCAGAAACTCCGGTGACCATGGGTCCTCTTCTGGAGACGTGCAACTCATTGTGGCAATGGATCCTCATGGTGGCAACGGTGGTGGACGGTGTGCTCTCTCTTCCTTTCTCTCTTCTCTTCTTCTCTTCTCTTCTCTCTCTCTCTCTCTCTCTCTTCTTCTCTTTTCTTCTCTTCTCTTACGGTGCAGCTGTTTTTCTTTTTCGTTTTTGTTTCATTAGGTTTTGGTTTTAAAAGAAACTAATTAATTGGATAAAAATATAAATTTGGGCTTAATGAAAACACAAAATAATTGGATTTAGGTTTTAAAAACAAATTGGGCCTAAAGACAAAATTTGGGATGTCACAAACTCCCCCACTTGAAAATGAATCCGTCCTCGAATTCACGGATCCCTTCTCTCCCACTTGATTATCGACTATACCTTGAAGTGACGTTCTTATTATTTTTATAGTGACATCCCAACGCTTCCGCTGTGCGACTCTGATAAATCGACTTTTCTTGGTTTCATTTCTTGTTGCACTGACTAAGGTATTGATGTCTTGGAGGAAAACTCGAATCTGACATTCAACCTAGAGAATCAAAGAAGACTGATTCGGTCAAGATCTGAAAAAGAAGAGAGCGGTGAGTATTCGGGGAAAAATACTCAGTGAAGGTGTCCTCTTGGAACACACAAGATTCTTTGACATAGTATTTGAAATCAGAAAACGAAAATTTTTTTTATTGAAAACCGATTAAAAATTCTAACAAGTCTCACGACGCCTCCCGGGTCAGAACCGGTTTGGCTAACCTTATGCTCTGATACCAAATGTGAGACAACATAACCTCGCAAATATAACATAACTTGAATTACACTCATTTAACAACTTTTAAAGTCGAATAACAAACCTAATAAATATTTATTTATTATCAAAAAAAACTTTTATTAAAAATACATAAATCGAGAATTCGAAAAATCTTAAACATTTGATAAAAAAACTAAAAAAAATATAATTAAAATTCTTATTAAAATAATTACAGAAATGCGCCTATGACTCTGGGACATAACACCACAACAACCGCCATAAATACTATTCTTTGGTCGCGCCTGAAAAAGAAGAGAGCGGTGAGTATTCGGGGAAAAATACTCAGTGAAGGTGTGCTCTTGGAACACACAAGATTCTTTGACATAGTATTTGAAATAGCAATAATGTATATACATAATATAGACATCAAACTCAAGTAACAATCAACCTAGAATAACTAATATTATTATATAATATATATGTTATTAAATATATATATGATTTTAATATTTCTAAATAAATAGAATCATTCAATCATTCAAACCAATCAACCTAAATAGTCTACTTCACATTTCTAAAGAACTTTCGTCAATGGTACTCATTCTCTGCCACCACCCGTTCTGGGCTTGGCAAGTTATCGGTGCCACCACCCTCAACAGGGCTTGACTATGGCTCGTTATCCCTTTCTCGACCACTACAACTTCACAATCTCAGTTCTTCGTTGTAGGCCGTCAAACAATATTGTAACCAAAAAATTTTATTGTTAACATATTCTTGTACTTCTCATTATTAATTATCAACAATAACAAATCAATAACACATGCTGAAAAAAAAAAATCAATAACACATATCAAACACCATTAACAAATACCAATCATCAATCATGTTTAATATCTACACTAAGCATACACACGTTACTAAATCAACTAATATATTTTAGAAATCCAAAAACTTGTCCTCACTTTAATTTGAAAGAACCTGGAATACCATTTGGAGAATATGGTGGTCAAAAATGGATGCAGCTGGAGAACACTCATTTTAAAAACACTTCAAAGCTGCCTCAGCAACACGCTGATAACTCGACAACCAACCGTTGAAATCTCAATCCCACCGTTGAAACAGGAGACCGATGTACCGTGAAGCCCTCTAAAAAAAGTTCAGCTCGATCTGACTTCAGACAAATCGTCTACGGTCCTTTGAAGTTGCTGCATCGAAGCAGATTTCTGGGTGGCAAGGTGACGCAGATGATTCTTGTGCAGGAAGAAAGCTTCGTTGTTGGCTGACCGTAACTCCGATCACGATGCCGTTTGCTCCAACGGCTTTGTTGCAACGAGATCTTTCCAGAGGAACCTAGATCA